TGATAAAGATTAATTGCTATTATTTTTCACAATAAAATAATACTCCCACTTTCATATATCCCTTTACTACATATCCAAACTCTATCTCGATTACTTATGTACGTTCCTTAGTCAGAAAGAGCAACCGTCTACTCAACCATAAGTAGAAAGATAATGAATGCTGAATGTTTGAGATAATTACTAAGCCTACGAAATAAGACCTATTCCTATAATAAAATATCTTTGGTGGAGAAAAGCTGAGATAAAAGCACCAAAACCCAATCTAGTAATCAAGAAAACCAAGCAAGCAGCACTAGGGATTAGCCTTGTAAAAATAACTGCATGACGTGTAGATTTTATTTTTGAATAAAGAAATCTTTTTTTAAGTTCAAGATTTTTTGCAGTTACTTCTGAGATGTATTAATTTTAGGATTTACATTCTTACATTGTTTCCAATCAAAAAGCAATATCTTCTCCATATTATTATTGAAGAATCATAACTGGGTCGAGGTTCAATTCTGAATGAGCAATCTTGTAAGATACTTGATACCAGATCTCTTGAGTCATGCTAATTGTTTACTCAATTTTTTTTTTGTTTTCCAAAATATCCTCTTGTCGAATAGTAATTCTTTCAAAGTGTAATTCACATTAACTGGATAAATCTCTTCCACCAAAACCCTCTCCATAAACACATTTTATTTGAAAAGTTGGTACATCAAAAGTAAATTAATTGTGATGTTAGAGTAAATTAATACAGTTATAAAACCTAATTCATTAATAGACATTTATAATGTTCGTTGTATATTGTTAAATATAAGGGATAATCACGATTTTGCTACGTGATGCAATGTGGTTAGTCATGCTAGATCTGCATGATAGCGGAAATCTTACACTGCACCACATGTTTGACCTAATTAATAATGAAACTTTGGTTGTGTTAGCTTCGAAAATAATTTCTGAAACATGACATTTATCATATATTTTGCTTAAATATCGCAAAATGGTGGTTGCGCCCAATACACGTGTTACCGACCAACAGATATAGAATATATTCTCTCTTTGTCTGCGGAGAATCTCATTGTAGATTTCGTATTTTCTTTTCTCCAAATATATATAGTGTGTGGGAATGGATACATATGAAATTTTTGTGTTTATTTTTCTTCATTAATAATAATTGAACCCACATATTTAAAAGATATAAAGAGAAAGAAAGATACAAAAAATTTATATGATTGTTAAATTTTAAAAATGAAAGTAGACAATCTCAATTAATGAACAAATATAAGTGACCTTTTCCTTTCTTTAAGGAAAATTAGAAAAAAGCTAGCTAAGCGCATGCCTTCTTCTTTTTTTTGGTTACTAAGTGAAAGAGAAAAAGTATGCAGGAATATATTAAGTATTCGGTATATTAAGCGAAAGAGAATTTTTTTATATATACAAATTTTAATTATTTTTTTAGATGAGTCGACTTTTGAATATTTTCATAAAATAAATAAAGGAAAACATATTTGCCTTTTTAAAGGACATATAATTATGTCATTTTAAGAGAAAGAAAGACACAACTTAATATTTTTTATTTAAAAATTAAATTTTTTAAAAAAATATCAACTTTCTCTCCCATAATTTCTATTGCTTGTGTCTTTCTCTTACTTAAAATGACATAACTCCATGTCCTTTAAAATGACAAATATTAAATCCAATAAATAAATAATATAAAAATATCTTTTGCCTAACCAAAAAAAAGTTGTTTTGATGTAAAAAAATAATTTAATATCTTCTATCTACCTTTGTGTACCGCTCTAAAACATCATTAGATCATAATCTCAACTAACATTTATCTTTCTATTTTTCTCTTGAGATTCTGATATAAGGGTATTGGGGAGTAATAGACAAAATATACAGAAAAAAAAGTAAGTAGAATAATCAATCTCATAAAAAAAATATTATTTCCATTAAATATATATATATATATATATGTATATATATATATATATATATATATATATAGGGTTGGCTTTTTCTACAGTCAATGTAGATAACTTATCTACAGTGAGCCCAAAATGACATCGTTTTGAGGCGAAAATCAATGTATTTTGTAATTATAATTTATTTCAGGGTTATAATAGTCTTTTATTATAATTTTTTAATTTTTTAACCAAAAACAACGTCGTTTTGGGAGCGAATGTAGATAACTTATCTACATTCACTTTAGAAGCATTAAAGCCATATATATATATATGAGATAGGATCCTTTGACACCTCATTTGAAAGCCGTTAGATCAGAAAAAATCAACGGTGTCGCATGATTACAAATCAGAGTCATTGATCTTTTCTGATCTAATGGCTCCCAAATGAGGTGTCAAATTTCAAATTTGACACCGGTGTCAAATGATCATACCTCTTTCTATATATATATATATATATATATATATATATATATATATATATAGAGAGAGAGAGAGAGAGAGAGAGAAATATTTCTCAAGCTGCTTGAGATATATTTATCTTCGGTTATTCCAAAACTACGTCGTTTTGTTTATTTATTTCCTTATATTAATTGATTCACCTTTGAATGGTTATGATTTTCTTTTTCTCTCTTTTCCTTTTTCACCATTGATCCATCTTTGTACGATTATGATTTAGTGGCCGGAGATAAAGTTATTTCAAGCCGCTTGAGAAATGATAAGCCCATATATATATATATATATATATATATATATATATATATATATATATATATAAGAAAAATATGTCTCAAGCAGCTTGAGATATATTTATCTCCGTCCATCCAAAAGCTACGTTGTTTTGTTTATTTATTTTGTTATATTAATTGATTCACCTTTGAATAGTAATGATTTCTTTTTTATTTCTCTTCCTTTATCACTATTGATCCATTTTTGTACGGTTATAATTTAATAGACAAAGATAAAATTATTTCAAATAACTTAAGAAATGATAAGCTATATATATATATGAGGTAGGATCCTTTGACACCATTGTCAAATTTGAAATTTGACACCTCATCTGAGAGCCATTAGATCAAAAAAAATCAACGGCTCTTATTTGTAAGCATGTGACACCATTGATCTTTTTTTATCTAACGGCTCTCAGATGAGGTGTCAAAGGATCCTACCTATATATATATATATATATATATATGGGTTTAGCGGATGTAAAGTGACTGCACCTAAGGATTGGTGCAGTCATATAAAACTACGTCATTTTATAATGTAAAAGCATTAAATATGGGGAATAATAACCATACAAAGGTGGAAATAAATATAAAATATTAAATACGGGAAATCATAACCATACAAAGTTGGAAATAAATATAATATTTTTGTTTTTTACAACTAATTTTAAATGTGAACTTCCTTTATCCCACCCAAAACGACGTATTTTTTAAGTGACTGCACCAATACTTATATACAGTCACATTACAATTGTCTATATATATATATATATATATATATATATATAAAGAATTAAATAGCTTAAAATGGTGGAACTGGGAAGGAGGATGAGGTGTCACCACACGACTCTGAAGAGCATGGGGCTAGTGCCACAGATTCTAGGCCCAAAACAACCTCCCAAGATGATATCAAGTCTCCTTATCAACGGCCTAAACTCTATGATGATGGAATAAGATGCTTATCCTTGGGGAAGCTAGTAGTATTATGCCTTTGTTCTACCCTTTTCACGTTTAGAATCATGTTTGGTCTCAATTATCACATTTTGATGTCTATGTCATCATTTTTAATTAGAAAAGGATCAAAATCAATGGAGAATTAATTTTGGATCAATGAATTATTGATTTCAAATAAGGAAAACATATTTTACAATCTAATATTCTAAATCAGACCTTTTTTTTTTAAAGAAGTTTTTTACCAATAACATTTAAATCTCATTATAGAGTTTGTTAAGATTTAACCTTAAAATAATAAGATTCTCCTCTTATCATGTAAATATTATTTTTTTTTAAAATAATTACTTTCAAGTTTGAAAATCTTATTCAAAGTTCAAACACCTGTTATTTGTTACTTAGGGCAGGTTTGGTGCATAGTATAGGATAAAGCCTGATAGTATAAGACCTGATAGTATAAAGCCTGATTGTATAAGACCTTATTGAATTTTAATACTATCAAGCGTTTGACACGGTATTGTATAAAATAATATATTGTATAAGATAATATCATCTATTATTTGGTAATGCACTGTATAATACTATATATGATAAAAATAAATATTTTTAATAAAAATATCCTTTAATAAGAATTTATATAATTCTTCAAAAAATATCATATGATATTAATTTTTATAAAAATTTATTGATCAGTGTGTCCAAAATATAAATTAATTTTTATAAAAATAAAAATATTCAATATTTTAAAAATTAATATATTGAAAAATAAATTTTTATTGTAATAGATTAATATTAAAATAATATATTAATTTTTGAGAATTATATTGGTCAACGATGTTAATACATCAATCTCTTATCAGGTCTTATCCTTCACCCTTAGGCCGGATTAAGTTATACATCATTTTGATGTATTAAGAGATTATGCTGTATAAGCTTATACTATACGGTGGTCACACCAAACAACTAAAAATGTCATAACGTATAGTATAAGCTTATACTATCATATCTTACACGTGACACCAGAGCTTAGGTACCTATACGATACATTAGCCACGATGAGAAAAGCAATGATAACTGATTAAGCCATGCATCAAGCTTCATGCACCTCATGAGCAGGGTATATCTGTTCCCAAGTTATTTATAATTAACAAGGAGGCTAATTAGTAATTAACTAGAATAATCGTTTCCTTAAATATTTTCACTATCACCACCGTTTGCCTTCCAAGTTGCAAGCTTTCGTGTGCAATTACCCTCTCACCTGGTTTTCTTCAATTTATTTTCTTTTTCTTTTTCTTTCTTTTTTTTTTAATTTTCTTATAATTTTGGTAATCGTTTTTTCTCTGTTCATACCTCGATTCAATCTCTTATTTTCTCTCAGAAGAAACAATTCGGCGAAGAAGTGAGACAAAGAAGAAGAAGAAGAAGAAGAAAAGGGTTGCCTTAAAATCACCATAATATTGTTTATTTTGTTCATACAAAAACTGGGTCTTCGACTTTCTCGAAGACCGATTAAGGACTCTACAACTAGGTACTCTTAACATAAGACAACCATTGAAACTGTTGCCGTTTTGAGTCTTCAACTTCCCATGATTGTGTTCTTCACTGATCGTGTTCTTTTTGCTGACATTGTGTGTTTGTTTCTCGATCATAATTGCTTTGTCCTTTTCTTTCCCTTTTTTTGTGTTTTTTTGTGTTTTTGTTTCGTGTAACCCACGACGTTTATTCGTATTATCTATTTGTACGTGTCAATTATAGAACTTGTTGTGTTTGATTTGTTTAGTCTGAGGTTTTGGCTTGTTAACTTTTGAATTGATTTGGTTTATGTTATGCATCATCAACAGGCACAGCAGCACTATCACTTATTTTGGGGGGGGGGGGGTTGGGGGGTTAAGGATTCTGATGACTATTTAACTGGGGTAATGTTGAAAATTAAGAAAAATGGCTTCTTGTGTTAGTTTTATATTTGAGGAAAGCTTTGAATGAAGGAAGAGTTTGGTTGTTCTGGATTGGAGTTATGAACTTACCTTTTTCCTTCCATAAGAACGGAAATAACAAAATGTCAGTTTTTGGCTCATAATTCAGACTTATTTGGCCTATATATATGGTAAAGAGTTTATGATGATGAATGAAGATTGATAAGATTTTGAAATGCACAGGTGTTGATTTCCATTGGGTAATAGAAGCAATTAATGGAAAGTAGAGGCCAAAAGCGTCCAGAAATGGTAGATGAACTGCCTGCTGATAAGCGGGCGTGTAGTTCATTGGATTTTAGACCAAGTTCTTCAAACTCATCTGTTCAAACACATTTGAATTCAACACGCTCAATGGTGGAGGCCCATGATAATGACATGGATACTTCCTCATCTGCTTCAGCTTCAAGCCGATCAGAGGGAGAACCAGAAAAGGATTCAGCTTATGGATCATGTGATTCAGATGACATGGAGCAGCATCATAGCAGTCTCCATGAGTATCATAGGCGGAGACTATCCAGTGATCATGGGAAATTTAAAAATATTATATCAAGCTTGAGTGGACAGACTGAACCTTCTGCTCAATTGGCAGTACTCACTGAACTTTGTGAAATTTTGTCCTTTTGTACGGAGGGTTCACTTTCCAGCATGACTTCGGACTTATTATCACCACTACTTGTAAAGCTGGCAAAGCATGAGAGTAACCCTGATATAATGTTGTTTTCTATAAGGGCTATCACCTATATTTGTGATCTGTATCCTCGATCAGCTGGTTTTCTTGTTCGCTATGATGCTGTTCCTGCTTTGTGTGAAAGATTATTGGCTATTGAGTATCAAGATGTGGCTGAGCAGGTAATTGGTGCTTTTTCTTTGTTTATCTGTAGCATGTGTTATATATATGAATAAGATTATTGATGTTGTATTTATGTAGTGTCTCCAAGCATTGGAGAAAATATCGCGAGAGCAACCACTTGCTTGCTTACAGGCTGGGGCGATTATGGCTGTTCTAAATTATATTGACTTCTTTTCAACAAGCATACAGGTAAGCCTCTAACACAATAAGTCATCATCTTCATGAGTAATGACCATTTTTTTCTTGCTATCAATAGAAGTCAATAATATATTATTTTAATTTATTAGAGGAGTGAAGAATTATTTTCTTATTTGATGTATACTATTCTCCCATTTCCCACTTTCACCAGAGAGTGGCTCTTTCTACTGTGGTGAACATATGTAAGAAGCTTCCTTCAGAAAGCCCTTCTCCTTTCATGGAGGCTGTGCCCAGATTATGCAATCTTCTTCAGTATGAGGATCGGCAGGTAACAATGAATGGAATTCAGATGATTGTATTGCAGATTTGTATCAGTCATAAATTCATGTTCCTTTTTCAATATTTACTGACATGCTAATGTACTTCCGCAGCTTGTCGAAAACGTTGCTACCTGCTTGATTAAAATTGTGGAGCGAGTTGCTCAGTCCTCTGAAATGTTGGATGAACTTTGTAAGCATGGATTGATTCAACAGGTCACACATCTTTTAAGTTTAAATGGTCGGACAACCCTATCTCAATTAATTTATAATGTAAGCAATTTTTTATCTTTCATTTCTATACCCTAGATTTCTCTATTTTTTCGTATGAACTTTGATGTTGACATAAATCTATCATTTTGCTTGGCAGGGATTGATAGGATTACTTGTCAAACTTTCATCTGGATCAATTGAAGCCTTCAAGATTTTGTATGAGCTTAATATAAGCAGCATATTGAGAGATATATTATCTACATTTGACCTCTCACATGGAGTATCAACGTCACAACTTGTTGGTGGACATTGTAATCGGGTAGGCTTGTGTGTCTTAGATTTGACTCTATCTCGTCTTTTACCTGTGTGCGGTGACACTGTTTGGTTAATTTCCTGTTTCCAAAGTAAAAAATATTGGTATGATCATTTAGTTGTGATGAATTTGGTAATTGGTACGTTTTCATATTATTAATATATGGCCTCAATTAAATGCTCATAAATGAGAATCTAAGCCAATATTGCTGTTTTCATGTTATTAATATATGGCCGCAATTAAATGCTCATAAATTAGATTTAAGCCAATATTGCTATTTAGCCCCCCATAAATAACCTTTCTCTGCACAAAAAAGGGCAACCTGGTGTTATTAGGGATGTCAAAGCTGGCATTCTGCCCCGCCACAAAAATGGGCTAACGTGCCCAGCCCAATTTATGAAAGTGGGTTGAAAATCTCAACCTACCCCATTTTATGATGGGTTCGTGGGTCAACTTGCTTATAGTGCAAAAAACGAAAAGAGATCTAGAGATGGAGACTGAGGAGTAGTAGGGCTTAGAAGAAAAGTGAGATGTTTTACCCCAATTAAACTTAAAAAGAAATTTTAACCTGTCGAACAATCTGCCCTGTCCCGACCCACTTTACCCACCCTTAAAGCATAGGGGCTTGTGATGGATTGGCAGGTTTAAACATGTAACCCAACCTGCAGGTTAGTCGGGTCAGGCGGGTTGATCCGTCGGGGCAGACCCGTTTTGCCATCTCTAGGTCCTATAAAGCTCCCCCTCTATATAGGGTCCAAGGAAGGGTCTATAGTGGGAGACTATATGTTTGATTAATGAATCAAACTCGTGACTTCTTGGTCACATGTTGACAACACCAATCATTGTGCCAAGCTGCCCCTCATTTTCTAGAAGTAAGGAGGGAAAAAGAGCATAGTTGCCGATGAGCTTGTAGCAGAATTGGCATTTGATATGGGAGGTTTGATCCACCCAGCCACCTATCCTCCCTTAGCCTGCTGCTCGCACCTCCAATGTACCAAAAAATAAAAATCCCAAAGAAATGTCCTTCGGAGTCATCCAAAACAACCTATTAAGTTGGGAAGTCTCTATTATCCAACACGACCGTTTTTTTTTTTTTATGGAAATTTAGTAAAAGTGCATCTAGAAGGCGGCAATTAGACACATTGAACTTTAATTTTGCCAAATACATTGGTGCTGTTCAAAATTATGTAATTCAAATTCATTTTGAATATCTTTAATTCATGAACTACCAAGACCTATTTGATTATAATCATACCATGTCTCCATGATACATTTCTAATAGGTTTGGTGGGTCAAATGATTTATTATGTACTGGTCAGTTTCAATTGTGAACAGTTTTGGTGCATAAATTTTTTATTTTGGGTGAAATGATTTATTTTTCTAAAATTGTAGAACTATGTAAATATTCTATTCATTTTCATTAGAAAATGCTTATGGTATGAGCTTTATTGTTCCTATGCAATAAAAGTAATCAGATTTAAATTTTCTACTCTTGTAAATTTGTTGAAATTTGTTCTTGATATTTATTTTGTAGTGTCATTCAGAAATAGAATGAAAGGATTCTTTTCTAATGGATTCACATTTGTGTGATTTGAGAGATTTATTATAAATGATGTGGGAAAGGTTTCTCTTATATTTTTTTGACTTGCTAGGTATATGAAGTACTTAAACTGCTAAATGAGCTTCTCCCCAGCCTGGCTAAAGATCAGAATGATCAACTGGTGCTAGACAAAGAATCCTTTCTAGCTAATCACCCAGATCTCCTACAAAAGCTTGGGATAGATGTGTTTCCTATGTTGATCCAGGTTGGTTGATTTTCTTATAATTAGCTAAGTACTCTTACTTTTTTATTACATTGCAATAGCTACTTCATCCTTGCGCAGGTGTTTAATTCTGGTGCGAGTTTACATGTTTGCCATGGATGTCTATCTGTTATGTACAAGTTAGTTTGTTTGAGCAAATCTGACATGCTTGTTGAATTGCTTAAGAACGCCAGTATTTCAAGGTGAAGTAGGCCTCTTATCCTTAGAGTTGCAATATTAAATATATTTTGTTGAAGATGTTGACTTTATCTGGTTATTGTGGCAGTTTTTTGGCTGGAGTATTCACTCGAAAGGATCACCATATGCAAATGCTAGCCTTACAAATAGCTGAGATAATCCTTCAAAACTTTTCAGATAATTTTTTGAAGTTGTTTGTAAAGGAAGGTGTCTTTTTTGCCATTGATGCACTATTAACCCCAGAAAGATCGTCACAATTGATGTACCCAGTATTTAGTGGCATCCAGCTGTCATTGGACTCCAGTCAAAAGTCTGCTACAAGAGATGCCCTCAAGTGCCTATGTTATGCATTTTCGACTGGCCAATCTCCCACATCATCAGAAGCCGGAAATTGCAAACTTGACAAAGACTCTGTTTATAATCTTGCAGAGCATATAAAAACAAAATACTTAGCACCAGAAATATATGATTCTGAGAAAGGATTGACTGATGTTCTGCAGAATCTCAGGGAACTTTCTAATGTTCTGTTTAGCATGTCTACTGACAATGGTGCTCTTGCACTTCATGAGGAGAAGATCAATAATATATTATATCAAATTATGGACAAGCTTACTGGCAAGGAACAAGTTTCTACTTTTGAATTTATAGAGAGTGGAGTTGTGAAATCACTAATTAATTATTTATCTCATGGACAATATATGAGGGAAAATGAGGGAGTACAAGGTGTTTGTGGTCATAATGCTATCATAGAAAAACGATTTGAGGCTTTGGCAAGTGTGTGTATGTATGCTTCTCACCCTCTCTCTGGCGACACACCTCTCTCTATATTAATCAAGATCCTGCAGAGTGCACTGACTTCATTTGAAGCCTTCCCCATTATTCTGAGCAATGGACCAAAACAGAGAAGTTCATTTGCTACTGTTCCTAATGGGTGTCGCATTCCTTATCCTTGCCTAAAAGTCCATTTCGTCAGGGGAGAACAAGAGACTTGCTTGAGTGACTACACTGAGGATTTTCTTACTGTTGATCCATTTTCTTCTTTGCATGCCATTGAAAGATATCTATGGCCAAAGGTCAGTGTGAAAAACACAAAGGATGTAAGATCATCATCCAGCCAAGTAGTATTGCAACCAGAAAGTCCACCCCTTCAATCACCATCAAATGCAAATTCCTGCCGAGTTGAAATTCCGGTAATTTTGGGGCCTTCTGACATGTCATCAGATCTACGTGAAACACAGGTAATATTTGTAACCATGGTTATTAATTTACTGAAATGGCAGGCTAGTTCTGTCATCTGTGTGTTTTTTCCTTGTAAATTTGTCTTATTTTTGGGGAATGAGAGGTTGTTTCCTAATTTAGTTTTTATTTTCAACTGAACTTGTGTTGCAGGGAGAAGAGCCAAATTTGTCAGAGCCTAGACCTGATCAAGCAATCAATTTCAGTGCTGGGGAATCATCATCCTCCGGAACTCAGGTTGTTATCATATTATTAGTTAGTTGATAATGCAGAATATTCTTGGTTATTTTTTGTGTCCAACTAAGTTCATATTTATGCTATATAGTTGTTCTTGGCATGTTGGTTTTCCTAAATGTGTCATTTTACGGTTTTATAGACCAAAATTATATATTTTCTAATTATTGGAGGATGATCTTCCATTAGATTAGTGACATGGGTTAATATTGTTGTCTGCGTATATTTTGGTATTCTTAAATTAACATTTGCTAGTTGTGCATTGTTCTTGTATCTGTTGTATGTGTGTGTGCATTGTTCTTAAATTAACATGCGCGCGCGCACGCGCATAGGCACCTACACGCGCACGCGCACCAACATTAATTTCTAATTTATCATGATAACAAATATATTATATGTGCAATTTATATTTAAACTTTTGTGCCCATATCTAACAGGGGTATGCAGAGGAAGGACTGGAATTCAATGCAGAACCAGACTCGAAACTAGAAAAACAGCATCCTGAATCTTGTAGCCATGAAGCTGTTCAAAAACTTGTTTTTTACCTTGATGGACAGCGTCTGAATCATAAATTGACACTATATCAGGCAATTCTTTGCCAAATAATAAAACAAAATGATTGTTTTTCTAGTGCAAAAATGTGGAGTCAAGTGCATAGATTAACCTATAGAAGGGCTGAGAAATGGGAGGACATAATGCCTCCAGAATGTCATTCTTCACCTCAAGATTTCTCTAATGATAAAGTTTTAGCTTATTATCAGCATGCTCCTTTTTTGTCAGACATGTTCTCTTGTGAACTTGTTTCTGATTTGGAGAAGTCAAGTCCAACTTATGATATTTTGTTTCTTCTTAAAATCTTGGAAGGATTGAACAGATTTATGTTTCACCTTATGTCTCGGGAAAGAATTTGTGCTTTTGCTGAAGGGAAAGTTGATAACTTGGATGGCCTAAAAATAACAGTTCATTCTGTCCCACAAAATGAGTTTGTGAGCAGTAAGTTGACGGAGAAGTTGGAGCAACAGATGAGGGACTCTATGGCTGTCTCCACTGGTGGTATGCCTTTGTGGTGTAATCAGTTAATAGCTTCCTGTCCTTTCCTATTTAGTTTTGAGGCAAGGTGCAAGTACTTCAAATTGGAAGCGTTTGGTCAGCCTCAAATCCAACATCTTCTGTCTTACAACAACTCAGGAACAGTAAGTGATAGGCGACTGAGCCTCAGTGGATTGCCTCGAAAGAAGTTCTTAGTTTATCGCCACCGGATCCTGGAGTCTGCTGCACAAATGATGGACCTACATGCCAGTCATAAAGTGGTTCTTGAAGTGGAATATGATGAAGAAGTAGGCACTGGTCTTGGACCAACTTTAGAATTTTATACCTTGGTGTGCCAGGAGTTCCAAAAATCTGGCTTGGGCATGTGGAGAGAGGATGCTTCTTCCTTTTCCCTCAAGACAAACTTGCAGGATGAGGAAATCGGAATTTATTCCTTTTATGGACTCTTTCCTCGTCCATGGTCGTTAATGCAAGATACATCCAGTGGCGTACAGTTCTCTGAAGTAACAAAGAAATTTTCCCTTTTTGGCCAAGTTGTAGCTAAAGCACTTCAAGATGGAAGGGTCTTAGATCTCCACTTCTCTAAAGCCTTCTATAAACTTTTTCTTGGAAAGGTATCCAATTCTGGGTGCAATTAATGAACTTCACATTAGCTTGCAACCCAGCAACATGTAGTAACATGTTTAATGATGGTCATTATAACTGACTCTATTTGCTTATTACCATGTCTTTTTAGGAACTTTCTTTGTATGACATACAGTCAATTGATCCTGGACTTGGTAGGGTGCTGCTAGAGTTTCAAGCACTAGTTAACCGGAAAAGGTTTCTGGAATCTGTCTGTGGAGGGAATTCTGAGTTGGAATATGGATTAAGATTTCGTGATACCAGAATTGAGGATCTTTGTCTTGATTTTACTCTTCCTGGTTATCCTGACATTGTTCTTGCTTCAAAGCCTGATCATACAATGGTAAGGCATTGCTTGATATTTTGGCAATTCAATTTTCATTTTGATCCTTTCAATGATAAAATACAAACTTGATGTATTCATCCTTTTTGGTAGGTAAATATGAGAAACCTGGGGGATTATGTTTCACTTATTGTCGATGCAACTGTGAGCTCCGGAATTTCAAGACAAGTTGAAGCTTTTAAATCTGGCTTTAACCAGGTCTCACTTTGTCTTGATAATGGTTGAAATAATTTCTAGCTGCTTCTAATTTTATTTTGTGTTTTTTAAAAAAATGTCCCACTGTTCAAAATGAGAACCTTTTTGGTTGTTATAGTCATTCTTCACTTTCACTATAAAAGTTGGAGAGAATTACATAAAAAAAACAAAAAAAAAACCACTCCTCGTTAAACCCGACTAGCGAGTGTGGGATGGAGCCGTGGAGGAAATCCTTATATGTAGTCTTACCCTTACATAATTGCACAGTTGGAGAGAATTACATCTCAAGAAAAAAAAATGCCCAAAAGAATTGAGATTTACATAATACATTATGATCAAAATGAACAAAACAAAAGTATAAGTGCTATTGTCTGTCGTATGGTTTGAAAGGGTTACATGATGTGATATGCTTTTTCAATTGACCCTATACAAGTTTTACAATTGTTGCTAGTATTCTTAGGGTCATCGTCCAATAGCTGTCAGAACTTCTTGCATATCTTTGTGTTTGGCATCGACATTTTATTGTACTTCATCTTGTGACCTCATTTTCATTATGCTTTTAAATGCTTAAATCCATAGCAAATTAGAACCGGGATTCACTGAGTTGCTCTCATAATCTCAATTTTGTTCTGTTCTCGATGATTTAGCTGCCCCTGGACTTAAGGGAAACATTGGGGGGAGAATGAAAGAGAGAAGTCTGATGCTCAAGACTCCTGAACCTAGGTCCATGAAAATTCTTGGACCATTACACTGCTTAAATATGATACCTTTGTTTAATATATTATCAGAACTTGGAGTAGGTGTGTTGTGTCTTGACTGTCTTCTAAGTCATTCCCGTGTTCATAGCAAGCCATCATGATCAGTAGAATGAATATTAAGTTTCATTTAGGATTTACTGTTTACAAGACTGCTCTTCAATTTCTTGTATATCTTCATTATGATTCTCATTCCTTTTTTTTAAAACTTGTTTTCAACTTTCAGGTTTTCCCCATTGAACATCTTTCAATTTTCAATGAAGAAGAACTTGAGCGTATGCTTTGTGGAGAGCATGATTCTTGGGCTGTACGTATAAATTCCAATTTTTTTTAATCAATTTGTATAAATGTCCTTTTCTTGTAGAGGAAAAGAAAAGCAATAAAAAATAAAAAAACTGAAGTGTAGTAATGCCTTGTTAGCAGATCAATGAACTTGCAGATCACATTAAGTTCGATCATGGGTACACTGCCAGCAGTCCTCCCATTGTTAATGTAAGCATTCATGTACTTTTAGATACTTTTTGATCTCATGCTCTGAATCATTTTTAATTTTGTAACCTGATTCTCATAAGTTATGAATTACCAACTGCTGTGGACTCAGTTATTGGAAATTATCCAAGAGTTTGACAATGAACAGCGACGAGCATTTCTGCAGTTTGTGACTGGCACACCTCGGCTTCCTCCAGGAGGATTGGCATCTCTTAATCCCAAGTTAACTATTGTCCGAAAGGTCTATATAATTTTCAATCTGGCTTTTGTACTTTACATATATTTTTTCTTTGTATTATTTCCTCATACTCTTTGGTGTTTTAACAGCATTGTAGCAACCGGGCTGACACGGACCTACCTAGCGTGATGACTTGCGCAAATTATCTTAAACTACCTCCGTACTCATCAAAAGTACTTTATCAGTTTTCATTATTTCATATATTAGTAGAAAAAAGCACATTAAACAAATTTTAGGAAATGATTTTCTTGCTTTTGAGCCTAAACGTTGTTTGGCACTCCATTCAATTTCAGGAAAGGATGAAAGAGAAGCTCCTGTATGCCATAACAGAGGGTCAAGGATCTTTCCACCTTTCATAACTTAATTATTCTCTTGCCTGGATCCGTATTTGGATTCTGAAGCTGTAATTATTAGTTGGTAATTGATAGTAACATAGATAAGGGTGTTAACAAGTTGCTGGCAGTGGTCTCAGTTGAGTTACTGGCAGTGGTGGTCACAACGAGTTACTTGGGGATGAAGCTCCTGTTCTTCACTGACTACAATTGTTGGGGGTGTGTACATAGCTTGCTGATAATTAGTTGACTGACTTGTGTCAGCTGTACAGAAACGGATGGCACTTTCCCTGGTCACGCTTTGTTATTTGGTGTATAGTTTCGTGTACAGGAACCTTAATGACTATTAGTATTTTACATGCAATGATAATAGCTGCTATCTTTGCTCCTGCTACATCTGTGATTGTTTATATTACATTTGTTTTTACATGAAATTCCATGCCACTTTTTTTACTTCCATTTACAGTTGTGCAGTGTTACAGGAAAAAAAATAAAAACTTGAGATGACTTGAACTCAGATTAAAGCCAACTTCTAATTTTGCCGAGTTTTGATTGTGAAATTTTAGTGGTGTCATAACTCCCCCTCATTTGAAGGCTAGTGGTTTTGTTCATGACTTTCAGTTGTGTTGGAGTGGAGGAATGTATGTAGAAGTATGGTTATTATTAGGGTATCGGTGTTTTTTGTCAGAAAATTTGTGGATAACTTAACAGTGAGGGATGATGATTGCACATTCACTTCATTTGCATGCTTCTACAATTAGAATAATATGTACAGTTGTTGTAGTTTGTGAATGCAGCAACAGCCCAAGAATATTTGATACTTGATTCCTTGTAATAGCTGAAAGAGTGGTAAGCGAACTATGACATCAGAAAGAAATAAAAAAAAAAAAAAAAAAACAGATCATAAATCGAGAAATTGAATGTTAATCAATCGAGGAAGGAAAGGAAACCTTACCCTTTTTTTTTTGGAGAGTTTCATATAGCAGTTTTTGATTCTTTTTTCTTTGTCAGAAACTTTCTGCCATATTGAAGGAAATGTTCAGCCACGAGGGAAATGGCCACAATCATTTAGTGTTGTTATTCTTCTTTCATATATTTTTTCTAATGCGTGGATATTTTGTTATATATAACAACCATGGTCACACACACACACATGCTTTATGTTAAAGATTATTCGCTATTGCAATTGGTGCTTGTTCATTTATTTGTCTTACACGCCTTTTATATGTGTGTGTGCGATGTAAAATTAAAGTTATTAGATATAAACGAATTCAGTGATTAAAATTAAGAATGCAATTTTCGTAGATAAAGATCAGCTTTTATAAAGATCAGCTTTAAATGAATCATAACTATACACATGTTGTTGCTGTACGTAAAGCGGCTGCAGAAATAATATAATTAATTATATATATATATATATATATATATATATATATATATATATATATATATTTGTGTGTGGGTGAATATGGTTAATTTATTTTGATGTAAGAATAAAAAGACTTATATTAATTTTTAATTGTTGATTCATATTTATTCATGACTTACATAATTAATAAATTAAAGTTATTGGATATAAACGAAATCAGTGATTGAAATTAAGAATGCAATTTTCGTAGATAAAGATCAGCTTATATCGGGTTTATATATCTATATATCTATATATATATATTAGTTTATGATTCTGGTTGTGGCGAATTCGCTAAGAAGTTCAGAACACATGGATTGACTAAGGATTTCTCTCCTGTGTCATTCCGGAATGTTATGAACTCTCATCATCTGCTAAGAATACCTTACCATTTGAGTTGTGGCTTGGTCGTGGACAGCCAATAAATCCCTACTTAAGGGCTCATCTTATTGATTTGCTTCGTAAGTCGTATCTACCCAAAGAATGCAAATTGTATCCAGAGGACATCTGTTCTGAAGATGCTCGGGATTTTATTGACTCTACAGTAAGATCATTTGACACCGGTGTCAAATTTAAAGTTTGATATCTTATCTGAGAGCCTTTAGATAAAAAAAAATCAATTGTGTCACATGCTTATAAATCAGAGTCATTGATCTTTTTTGATCTAACAGCTCTCATATGAGGTGTCAAACTTTAAATTTGACATCGGTGTCAAAGGATCCTACCTAGGGGTGTTAACGGGCAGCCGAGCTTTGATTTTAAAAGGCTAAGCCTGTATTTAAATGCGTCAGTCTGACCAAGCCAACATGTTACCTGTTATAAATATTATTATCGGCCCGTGGCCTGACTTATTTACAAAAAATAAAAGTCTGGTTTAGCCTGTTTAAAAAAAAATAACAAAAATTTATCCAAACAGAATATACAATCAACAACACTAGTAATTCTATAAATATCATAAATTCAATGTACATCCAAACAACATAATATATAACAAAATCATTCAAAAAGTCTATTTAACCAATAAAATGAGATGAAATGAATTGAGGAGAAAGAGAGGCTATTACAAGTAATATAAAAAATATAAAAAAAAAAATATTAGGCCAGCCTGAGAGGCTCCAAGGCCGAACTTTTGAATGAGAGCCCGAGGCTTTTTTATTAAACGAGCTTTTATATAAGTTCAAGTCTGCTGCCAACAACCAACATGTAAGTTCAGGCTTTCACGAGCCGAGCCAAAGGCCCCTGATTCGTTTAGCACCCCTAATCCTACCCCATATATATATATATATATATATATATATATATATATATATATATATATATATATATTTGTGTGTGTGTGTGTAATGTCTCAAGCATTGGAGAACATATGGCGGGAGTGAATTTAACATAATAATATCACGTGGGAGGATTCTAACAATAAAAAAAGTAAATTAATGGTGATAAGATAAGAGATAGAAAAAAACATTAAGATAAGAAGTTATAAAATTATTACTATTGATAAGTTTATTGATGGTTATGATTCTCTCAAATATGTTAAATAACATATAAGAGGATTTATTTTCAAATATCGTAGAGTTGTAAAAAAAAATTTACCGTGGTATAATACAAATGAAAATCTTAGTCATAATATTGTTGTTATTTTTATATAAATTTAATTTGATCTATTTGATCAATGTGCCACCGATTAAACCAGTTACCCATCGATATAAATTCAATATAGTATTTATTAAATTCAATTCTATTTAACTATATAAATACAAAAATGTTAAATTTATATCTCAAGTAATATAATAATAATTATATTCTTTTACGAAGTAAAAAGAAAAGAAAAATACAGCGTATGGGGAACTTCCAAACAGACAATAGAGTTTATTAATTTAAGATAAATTAATTTTCTTAAGAAACTCATTCAATTAAAAAAATTATGATTAATATGATTAGAAAAGGAATACGCATGTTTAAGTAAATATATACAGGGATTTTATTCTAGGTGAGAGGTGTGGGTAATTATGTAATAATTTGTGTATTCAATTCATATATATATATATATATATATATATATATATATATGAGTTTGTTTTTTCTAAAGTTACTTTAGATAACTTCATCTAATGTTCATCAAAATGACGTCGTTTTGGGGCGGAAATCATGGTATTTTTATAATTTTAATTTATTTCAGGGTTATAATAGTCTTTATCATTCTAAATTTTTAATTTTTCAACCCAAAACGACGTCGTTTCAATGAACATTAGACAAAGTTGTCTAAAGTAACATTAGATACTTTTTTCCCTATATATATATATATATATGTTTCTTACATTAAGAGATAAATTTTATCTCCTACATTCATGTAACAGTATTTTGAGCCTATATTTTTTTTCTTCTCTTTAGTTCACATGATTTCATATGGGTCTCATACACTTTTATATATGTATAGGGTATAAATCTCAGAGAAAATTCCCTTTCGGGTCTTAACAAAAAGTACGAAATTTATTTTAGTTCCTTATAAAAAAAAAGTATCCATATTTATCCTTTTTGAGAAACTAATATAACTTTTTTTTTATTTAAGAGGAACCACAATTTTAAAAAAATGGAAGTTAGGAGAGATCACAAATCAAATTTTTTTAAAGGAATAAAATATGTTTTGTGTTTTTTTGTATTTACTCTAGATTTTATTTAAGATGGGAAAGAATGATCCCATGAGAAATATTTTTCTTATGTGATTGGAGATAACTATCTCATATTATACACTCATCAAATTGTGTCAGCTTTTTCTTTTTTCTTTTTATTTTTTTAAAGTGTGGACCCCACATATTTATCTCACACAATGTTATAAAAACCGGACTGACCTGGCCAGGTCGACCCGGAAACCAGTGAACCGGTCATGTAACTGGTCCAGTTTTCATATTGGACCGGCCATGTTACAGAACCGCTGTGACCCAGTGCGACCTGGCCGATTTTCACAAAAATCGGTGACTCGGTCCGTTCAACCAGTGACCCAACCCGGTTTGCAAAAAAAAAAAAACTAATTTATTCTCATCAATTGATTTCTTCCTTTTTTAACTCTCAAACACAAATGATTTGTTTTCCTTTGAAATATTTGAGCGATTTGTAGCTTATTAATTTACATAGATTATGTACTTACAACACTAATATTATCTTGGTTATGCAATATGTAGGGAATTTTGATTTGATTTATAGGTAAAAATATCGTTTACTGAACCTGAAGTATAACAAATATTATATGTTTGATTACTTTTTTATTGGATAATGATATGTAATTTATTATTTTTCGGGAGATGTTATAGTTACTACTTCTTTTTCTTACTACCTCTTACTACCAAATCTTAACCATTGATTTTCGTTAATGTAATGGTTACAATTTATTAAGTCATACTTATTAATTAATTATTAATTTTTAATAAATTATAACTGTTGGATTGGTAGAAGTCAACGGTTAAAGATTTGGTAGTAAAAAAAAAGAAGTAGCAAGTATCACTTTTCCCTTATTTTTTATATTAAAATATTTAAAATTAGTATTTTTTTTTTTACAGGTATTTTAGTATATTTATAATTTTTTTAATATAAATTATAAATTTACATATATTTACCAAGTCTTACGAGTTGAACCAGTGATCCACTGGTTAACCCAATGACCCGTACCTCGACCAGTTCGATAAGCGGGCCGAATTTAATAACATTAATGTCACACACATAAAAGAACTACTATCTCAACATTAGTTACTCTCGTATAAAATATATAATTGTATTTAAGACATAACTTGCAAACCCAATGTTTCCACGTATGTGAAGCAGACATGGAAGGAAAAATATGAGGACGGAACACGAAAGAGCGTTGTTGGTTGGAATTCCATTACAGCAACACACAAATATCTACCTCCTTATCCAAACAAACCTCTTATCTCTGGTTTCCCCAAATGGAGAAAGAGCAACAATGAACTCTGCTACTCTTTCACAACCTCAACCTCAACGTCACTTCTCACCAACATCTAAACCATACCCACTTCCTCACACTCTCACACTTCACCACTCTTATTCTTTCAAACTCACCACCAAAACCACGCGCTCCTTTCTCGTCAACCACACCAACCCTTCAGACCTGTCACTCACCACCACGACCACAACCACAACCACATTCACAACCGAACCACGCGACCAGGAACTGTTATTACTCTTACGTCAGAGGAAAACAGAGGAAGCATGGCTTGTTTACACTAAATGCACCCACATTCCTAACGCCACTTGCCTGAGTCGTTTGGTGTCTCAATTGTCCTTCCAGAACACGCTCTCCGCTCTCACGCGCGCCCAATCCATCATCACGCGCCTCCGCCATGAAAGCCAGCTCCATCGCCTTGACGCCAATTGCCTCGGCCTCCTCGCCGTCGCTGCTGCTAAGGCCGGCCATACCCTCTACGCCGCCTCCGTTGTTAAGTCCATGCTCCGTTCCGGCTATCTCCCCCACGTCAAGGCCTGGAGCGCCGTCGTCAGCCGCCTCGCCTCTTCCGGCGACGACGGTCCCGCCGAGGCCCTCAAGATTTTCAAGGCCGTCACGCGCCGCGTTAGGAAGTTCTCCGACCCCGACATGGTGGCGGAGTCGCGGCCTGACACGGTGGCTGTGAACGCTGCGCTCAACGCGTGCGCCATTTTGGGTGATAGTAAGAAGTTCTTGCAAGTGTTTGATGAAATGCCCCAGTTAGGTGTTGTGCCCGATGCGTTGAGTTATAACATAATGATGAAGCTGTGTTGTAGAGTTGATAGGAAAGACTTGCTTGTGTTTGTGTTGGAGAGGATTCTTCAGTTGGGGATTCCTCTGTGTATGACTACTTTGACTTCCCTGGTTTCTGCTTATGTTGATTTTGGTGATTTGGGGTCAGCTGAGAAAATTGTTCAAGCCATGAGAGATCAAAGGAGAGATCTTTGCAAGATACTAAGGGATTCCAATTCAGAATATTTGGGTGGTGGAAGTGATGATTCTGTTTTTCAGAAATTGCTTCCAAATTTGATGAATCAAAGTGGCAGCATTGAGCCACCCTTGTTGACACAAGCATATGCTCCAAACACTAGACTTTACACTACTCTAATGAAAGGTTATATGAAGGCAGGGCGTGTCACTGACACAGTGAGGATGCTTGAGGCAATGCGTCATCAGGATGATAGTGGAAGTCACCCTGACCATGTGTCCTACACCACTGTGGTTTCAGCACTTGTGAAGGTGGGTTCAATGGACCGGGCTCGTCAAGTTCTTGCTGAAATGACAAGAATTGGTGTGCCTGCTAATAGGATAACCTACAATATTCTTCTTAAGGGTTACTGCAAAAAGTTACAGATAGACATGGCAAGAGAGTTGCTTAAGGAGATGGCTGATGATGCAGGGATTCAACCTGATGCGGTGTCCTATAATATACTGATTGATGGATGTATATTGATTGATGACAGTTCTGGTGCTCTTGCCTTCTTTAATGAGATGAGGGCAAGAGGAATAGCTCCAACCAAGATTAGTTACACAACTTTGATGAAAGCTTTTGCACTATCAGGTCAACCAAAGCTTGCTCGCAAGGTCTTTGATGAGATGGTCAATGATCCTCGAGTGAAGGTGGATTTAATCGCCTGGAACATGTTGGTTGAAGGATATTGTAAGATGGGGATGCTTGAAGAAGCTAAGAAAGTGATTCAAATGATGAAGGAGAAAGGATTTTACCCTGATGTGAGTACTTATGGCAGCTTAGCCAATGCAATTGCATTAGCAAGAAAACCAGGAGAGGCACTTCTACTTTGGAATGAAGTGAAGGAGAGGTGGGAGTTGGGAAAGGAGAGGGACAAATGTGATTCTTCTGTTCCACCATTGAAACCAGATGAAGGGCTTTTGGATGCTCTGGCTGATATTTGTGTGAGGGCTGCTTTCTTTAGAAAGGCCTTGGAAATTGTGGCATGCATGGAAGAGAATGGGATATCTCCCAACAAGACCAAGTTTACTAGAATCTATGTGGAAATGCATTCAAGAATGTTTACTAGTAAGCATGCTTCACAGGCTAGAAGAGACAGAAGAATAGAGAGGAAAAGAGCAGCTGAGGCTTTCAAGTTTTGGTTGGGTTTGCCTAATTCTTATTATGGAAGTGAGTGGCGGTTAGAACCTATTGATGGGTATGACACTACCTCTGATTCGGTTTAATTGTTTGCCCCTACTCCATTATGAAACTGAGGGGAGGGGACACATATACACTTTAAAGTAGAAAACAATGTAACTAAAAAAAATGGCGATTTTGCTCTCATAATGTATTTATTTTTTGGGATTAAATGTTTCTACAGTAAATAAGTTATTTACATTCGCTTTAAAGATGATGTCGTTTTGGATTGAAAAATTAAAAAATTATAATAATAAAAATTATTATATTCTTGAAATAAATTATAATTACAAAAATATTTTTATTTTTGTCTTAAAATGATCTTATTTTAGGGTTAATGTATATAAGTTATCTACCGTAGAAAAAGTAAACCCTTCTTTTTTTTTCATTAAAACTTAGTGTTTCAACACGAAAACAATACTCCCGATTAAATATTAAATATATCACTTAATAAAGCCCCTTGGTGCCGATTGCCCAAGTTGTTGGGTAAAGTTGAATTCATCTAATCAATCTGATTAAGGAGTTCTCTCAAAATCAAAGTCAGAATTCATCCAATCAATCTGTAATAAAAGGAAGAGTTTTTACTTTTGGTGGTTAGGAAGCGGTATAAACTTTTGGAGTTACCCAACCCTAATTATCTTTTTGAGACGAGTTGGCTCCCTCCGGTATCCCCACGAGCTTTGACTCTTTGAGCCGGCTATGAGACTAATCCGGAGTGCGGGGGAACAGTGATGACTAAAGGTTCAGCCCCTCCCCAAGAATGCATTCAGCGGGAATCGATCACATATCCAACCCCACTAACTCAGCGCCAAGTTACCAACTGAGCTGCACCCATTGGGTAGAAGCGGTATAAACTTGGTGTAAGTTATCAATTTCTTCTAATATTTGTATTCTCTAAAAGGAAAATATCAGGGGTGATCATATGTCTAAGTTAATCCGATGATCCGATCAACCTGACTTGAACTAATTAAAAAAAAAATGGGTTGACTTAAATCAGGTAATTGTTTTTTCAGTCCAAATCAATCAAATTTTGATTTTTCCAAGTTGATCAAGCTTAAACAAATCCAATCACTATAAATTTTTATTTTAAAAATATTTTAATATAAAACAATTTTATGTTAATTTTTAAAATCTTAATATAAAATAATGTCATTCGAATAGAATTTATCAAAAAAAAAAATTATTTGATCATTGAATTGAATTAACTCAATTATAATCGGATGGGATTAAGGATATGAATTGATAAAAAAAAAAAAAATCTTAATCCGATCAATTTAGTTTTTTTTTGTTTTGTTTTGGGTACAAAACCACCTTAATCTAACATGTGGTTACTAAAAAAAAATTATATTGCCCAAAGAGGCATTTTTAGAATTTTAGCCTACACAAAGCGATGTAGTATTGAATGATCATTCAAATAAAAATCGAAGACAAAATATCTGGACCAAATGGAAATGATATTTGACCTAATGTCGGAAATCAGTTTGCGGTATTCTAAATTTAATTTTTAACATTGATTGTAAAAGAATTGATATTAAGAATAAGAGAAAAATATTTGTCATTTTAAATGATGATCATTTTGGTTAAAATTAATATTTTTTATTTAAATTTTAAATAAAAATCACTTACTTTCTCACAGATTTGAATTCTCTTATGTTTAAAAGTGGTGATATGGTCATGTTGTTTGAGCACTCATTGATGATGAGATAAGCGAGAAAAATATATGGTTTTTAAATAAGTGATTGTGATCAAATAATATGATTACTTTTAAACATGAGAGGATCGAAATCTGTTTCTCTCTCCATAATTTCTATTGTGTATTTTTTTCACTTAAAAGAACATAATTATATGCATTTGAATGGACAAACAAAAAACCCTAAGAATAATTTTAAAAAATTAATGTAAATAACTTTATTTACAAACAAAAAAGTTTTAACATTGATTTTTTTTTTTAAAAAAAATATTTTAAGAAAGGACTAAAAATAGTGATGAAGCCACGTTATGGACCTAGCATATGCCTTGGTACTAGCTTATTTTTAAATTTTCAAACACTTCCAAGGCGAAACCATGGAAATGGATAGCATTTTAGTGAGAAGTTGGTTAATGGCATGGGCTAAGGAGTTTTCCTGGCTCCAAAAAAAAAAAAAAAAACCCCAGTTAGAAAGAAAAAAGGGACAAATAATTACATTCCTATTTTATATAATCATGTTATATGGATGAATTCTAATCATATAAAAGTAAATCAATAGTATTAAGAGAAGAGAGATAAAAAAAAAGTATAGAAATAGAAAATTATAAAATCATCATCATTAATTTATTTATTAATAATTAAAATCTTCTTATATGCAAAAATTATATTAAATAGCGCATGAGATATCATTTCCTAAATAATCTCTTATTAAACATTTACACAAAGGATTAAACAACATTTAAGTCGTGTGTGTATCTTGAGAGAATTAAGACAGATATTTGTAATAATTAACCAAAATCGAGAATAATATTTGTATCTCGCAGATACCAACGTTTGGAGTAATTTCATTCTACATTTTTTTTTTTTGGAAAACTCGCTCAAGACTCAAAACGCACGTTGTTCGATTTAATCACTCGTGCAGAATTTTAATTAGAGTAATGGTATATTATGGTAGAAGATAAAATTATTATATACACACACATAAAAATATATGAAATTTATATTTTTTTATATTTTTTTTAATATGGCTCCACATATTTTTAAAAGTGCATAAAAAATAATTTTATTTTTTATAATATGAGAAACATCAAAACTATTTTTTCTTACATTATTCTAAATATATAGAATAGATAATATTAAATAAAAATCAAAGTATTTAATATTTGAATATTTTATAGTCTGTTAACTATTTTTTTTATTATTCGATATGTAAAATATTTAATAATTTTCATCTTTCAAGATATTAAGTTTTGTTAAATACTTTTATTTTTAATTACTAAGAAGCTATTTTAAAGAATAAACACTATATGAAAAGATTGGTTTCGGTGTTTGTAGTTTTAAAGAATATGAAATTGTATCTTTCAAGTGAAAGAAAAAGTAGGAGTATTTACCGTCTCAATTGAATTGATTTTGAAACAAAAATTATTTGATTCAATTCCTTTGATTTGATTATTTAATCATCTATTTGATTTTAAATGTTTAAAAAAATAATAAATATATAATACATTAGATCATTTTGGATTGAATAATTTTCACAGATCAAACCAAAAACTGATTCAATCTAATAAAAATAGGCAATTTTTTTTTTCAATTTTTAGGTTTTTGATTTTTAGTTATTGATTTTTAAATTCGATTATCACGGTTTGAGTTAGTTTGTATCGATTTATGAATATGCTTAAAAAATAGATACAAAAAAAAAAAAAAAAATACAAACATCCGTCTTTCTGAAAAGATTTGTTATGGATACAACAAAAATTGAAATTACCAAAATAGACACCACGTGTCCGTATAATTGTCGATCTTCTCTGATTCGAAACAAGAACTACGTTTTTTGGTACGACGAAGCCAGGTTTCTCAACTATGTACCCTTTTCTCTCTCTTAAAATCCCTGAAATATTTCTGAGTTTTAATTCTGCATTGAAGGCTTCTCCTCACCTACTAAACTCTCTCTATGCTCTCTACTCTAACAAGAAGTGATAAAATTCTGCAGAAAAGACAAGGTTTGAACTCTTTTGTTTCATTTCATCATGTTTTTCTATTGTTAAGATTTTATAATTTAGATATAGTAAAATGTGAATGCAAATGCATGTCTTTATTTTATGTTCTATGTTTTAGGTTTTCTGTAATAATGGCTGTAAATTCAGGCCAAATCGACTTAAACTCTGATGCTGTTTTGTTTGATCGGGAAAATGAGGTTCTGGGGTTTAATTCATCAGGTTCCAGTGTTAGTGTTGGTGTTTTTCATTCTGAAACCCTTAGATATGAACCCGTTGGTGGTGAGGTTCTGAATCACGATCAAAAGGTTTTCCATGTTGGAGATGATAGAGGAGCCAATGGTTCCTTGGAGCTGCCTTCTGAGCCTGTTGTGGTTGGGTTTCACATGAACCCTGGGTGTGATGTGATGATTAATGGCAGTGGAAAAGAGGGTTTTGGTGAAGAAACTGAATTGGTGGTTGGAGGGAATAGTTTGGAGGCAGGAGTGGAAGCTGTTGATGGAGGGTATGATGGGAAGGTAGGGGATTTTTCAAATTTGTTGGTAAAGAATGAAGATGAGAAAAAAACTATTGAAGGTTCCGCCAGAGCCCCGTTTGTTTATGGAGGTGCAGAACCTGATAAAGCTTTGGTTTTTTATTTTAATGATGGTGTTCAGAATGAGCCGGAGTGTGAGAAAACCAGGAAAGTTACTGAAACTGCTGGTTCTCTGAGCACTGAGGTTGCATCAAATAATGAGGCTCAAGGAGTTGATAATAATCTTACTGAGTGCAAGCAGAAGATTAAAAATTCTACTTTGGTGAATTTAAGCGCAGTTGTGGAGGATGACATCAAGATGAAAGCTGCCGATGTTTTGGTTACTAAAGATGGCCTCGAAGACTCTCGTGCCTCAGAAATTCGATCCTACCATTTACAGGATGACATTCCATATATGGAAGTCATAGATCTCAATGCCAAAGAATCTTTGCCTCTGAAAGACTCGTTGTCAAGAAATCGCCTTGAGCTAGAAACTCCGTATGAGTTGAAACAGCCAGCCTTTCAGTTAGATGCACAGGCAGAGGTGATGCAGAATCATACCATGGACATCGATATGGCTGAACCAGGTCTTTTCGAGAATATTCAAAATGAGTGTCATGGTATTAATCTTGTTGTAGATCTTAATTCTTATAGAAACATGCAGGAGGTTGGCATGTACAGGGAATCGGTGTTTTCAGAACTGAGTTTCTATGTGTCTGATTTAGTTTGGGGAAAGGTGAGGGGCCATCCTTGGTGGCCTGGTCAGATCTTTGATCCCTCAGCTGCATCGGAGATGGCAAAGAGGCATCTTAAGGAAGACTGTTACCTAATTGCATATTTTGGGGATCAAACATTCTCTTGGAATGATGTGTCAATGATAAAGCCATTTCAGCCGTATTTCTCACAAATGGAGAAGCAGAGCGATTTGGAAGAATTCCAGCATGCTGTTGATTCTGCTTTATATGAGGTCTCTAGACGGGTTGAGTTTGGCCTATCCTGTCCTTGCATGCCTGAGGAAGTGTTTTCTGAGCTTAAAACTCAAGCAATTAGTAATGCTGGAATCCGCCAACATACATGCAGAAGAAATGGAGGGGGCAGATTTACAGATGCAACGTCTTTCGAGCCCATGAAACTTGTCAATTATGTTAAATCATTAGCCCAGTCGCCGTATATGGAATATGATAGACTGGATTTTGTAATAGCACGTGCCCAATTGTTGTCCTTCTATCGCTCAAAGGGTTATTCTCAACTGCCTGAGTTTGCAGTGCTTGGTCCGTTGTTCGAGAATGATGTGGAAATTCAACTCATGAGGGAGAGAGAGAAAATTGATGAGCAAGAATTGAAAACCCATCTTGGCTTTTCACAGAAGCACAAGCTTGTCCCAAAGGATAGCAAGCAGCCCAGCAAAAAACTTAAACTTTTGTCAGATTTGATGTCCGACAGGAGATTCTGTATTCCAAATGGTGAACATGCATCAGAAAGGAAATCCAGCTATGAGTCAATTTCACGGTGTTCTCGCAGGAAACAGAAGGAAGCTTATGATACTTCTCATGATTATTTCCGTAATTCCAAAAAGAGAAAGCTTGCCCAGTTACAATATGTTTCTACAGATGAGATGTGGTCACAACTTTGCTTGGCTGCCAAGGATCCTTTTGGAGAATGTTGCTTAAGTGACGCGGTATATTTCTTTGCAGAATTTAGAAATTTCATTAGCCTTGATGATTCTGCTTCGATGGAGCATGGAATGTCTTTGGAACAAATGCATGACGGTGAGACCCGAGTAACCGCAACAGAAGCAGCAGCTTCTATGACATCTGCAATGGAACCTTGCAATGATTCTTATTGGACTGATAGAATAATTCAAACCTTTTCTGAAGAGCAATCATTGTCAAAAAGCCCGAATGAAAGAGAGGAATTTTTCCCCGTGACTCCAACTGAAGCTAATTCTCCCTCTTCCAAATCACAGCCAGGTGCTGAAATCAACACAAATTCAAGTTTTATGCAGCAAGATACTGATAGAAATCTTGGATCAGAACCTTCTAAACTTATGGAACATTTGGATGAGAGTTCTGAAGAGGGCATCATCTGCCCCACTGCTTTTACTCTGAAATTTACAAACTTGGATTCTGTTCCTTCAACAACAGATCTAAACAAGATTTTTGGCCGTTTTGGGCCACTGATTGAATCAAAGACTGAGCTGATAAAGAAGACTAGTTGTGCCAGAGTGGTTTTCAAAAAACGTTCTGATGCAGAAACTGCATTTAGCAGTGCTGGAAAATATCGCATATTTGGACCCTCACTTGTTAGTTACCGCCTCAAGATTTTGCCTCGTCCACCAAAAAAAGTTACAGGAAAACGAGGTAGAAAAAGCAAAAAAGAAAAGGCTTCTGTGGATGGTGCTGCAGTTTGATGCCATAGCGTTTATCCTTCAACCTCAACTAGGACGTTAGTAATTGGTGTTTTTATGTGAATATTTATATTCATAGTATTACTACTATTTTAATGATTAGCATGCTAATACACAGAGTTGAGTAACCGACTAATTGATATTTAGAAATCTTCTTGGACATGATCAATTTTAATTTAAATGATGATGGTGCATACATTTTGGGACTAATGTAAGGAATGTTCCAAGTTTCAACTCATGTGATTTTCTTACCAGTTATATTTCGTAATATTGATGCTTTATTATGAATTAATATTATTTATACTATAGAGGATAAATTTATTTTCTATATATATAAAAGAGTGAGATTTGTATTTTCTCTCTCTCTTTTCTTCACATAGGTCTCATATATTTTATGTATGTGTAGAAGATAAAATTGTTTCTTACAATATAAGAAACATTAATCCCTGCTTTATTATTATGAAAATAGAATATTCTCGATATTGCATTTTCCTTTTTGTTTATAATTATTCAAAAATGCGATTTAATTCCATTCCTTCATGCTTGATTGTTATCATCTATGTAGCACCGATACTGACACGGGACATGTGACACAATACGACATGACACTCTAACACGTTAATTCTAAAAAATGTTAGATTTCGACACGTTAGGACACGTTTTGATATTAAATAATATTTTTAATTTATGGAGTGTATATTATATTTAATATTCAATAATTTAACAAGAAAAATGAAACTAAACTTATAATATTCATCAATTTTGCAAAGAAATATAAGATATCCCAAATATTTATATTAAACTCAATAAAATGGTAATCGTAATCCAACGAATCTAATAGTTGGAACTAAAAACTAAACGCAATGCAACTTTTGAACCTTTTTTTGAATGTCTATAACACGTGTTGGAGTGTCGGAGTGTCGGAGAGTGTCAGATTTTTGAAGTGTCGGTGCTTCATAGGTTATCATGTTATTCTCCACAGGTTGTGTTTGGGTGCTCGAGCACAATGCCCGAATAGTAGGCCCATTTGTTTAGTTTTTAGGTATTATTTAATTTTGTTGTTTGTATTATGGAAGATTAAATTAAAAACTTAAATATAGAAATAGAAAACAAGTGCTCAATCCGAAAAAATAGAAGTAAGTCAAATTTTCTACCCAAGAATTACTCAAGAGGCTGAATTTCAATTTCTAACCGGCCACGATTCACTTTACGTGGATTTAGCTTAATGATGATTTTAAAAATGCATCGTTTTTTTTCTATTTTTGTTTTTTGTTTTTATACATAAAAAAAATTAATATTTTCATTCTCTCTTTTTATTTCTAAGTTTTTATGAATAAAAATAGAAATAAATTAAAAAAATAAAATATTTTATAATTATAAGTAAAAATAATTGAAAGTAAAAACAAAAAACAAAATACTCCTTAAATGTTTTGACTCAAAATGATTTGATTTAAGAATCATATTTTCCTTTTTCAAATAGCTCCTTAAAATTTAAAATTAATTAAATTTAAGTATTTTAAATTGATGACGTGTTTTTTAATAGAAAACAAGTAATAAAAAAACTCCAACCCTTTAGTGTGACTGAGTGCATTTCTTTATGAATTTTCTAGATTTTACGAGTACACAAATTATACTTTAAAGTTTAAAGTAAGCTAATTATAAATTTAAATTGTCTTACTTTTTTAAAGTAAAAAAATATTTTGGTACAACCACGCAAAAGAAGAAGAAAATGCAATAATAAATGAACGATAACTTTCGGTAAAAAAATACTCGAATTTACTTTAATTTATCATTTTTTTATCAATTTTCATTGAAACATTTGAGACACAAAATAAAATATCGACAAATGGAAATAAATCAAATAATGTAACAAATTACGAATGTGACATATATATAATCAATAAATGGTTTTAAATTTATTTATTTTTTTGTCGGTAAACTTAAATTGGTTATTTTTAGGGGTGAAACTGGGTCGGGCCGGCCTACGGCTCGGCCTACATCAGGCTAGACCTAACTTAGTATATTTTGTATAATAGAGCGGGCTCGAGCCTTAAAAAAAGCCTGTTTAATTAAAAGGTTGTAGGCCCACTTTCAAAAGTCAGGCCTATAAGCCTACAGGCCGACCTATATTGTACTATTTATTTTAAATAAAATAAAATAAAATAGAGTAAGTATGCCTTGAAGAAAAAAAAGATATAAATTTAATCAATTGCAATTATTTATAACTTAATTATATTCGATTATATTTTAACAGAAATCTTACTTTATTTCTTATATAGGAGGAACCAACATCTCAACATGTTAGATTGTGTATATGAATATATTAAAAGATTTTTGGGAGCATGGAGCTCCTCCCCCATGTCCAGCTCCACCAAGTTTACTTTGTTTCCACATAGGTGTAGGGATTGGTCCCTACCTCCTCCATTTTTGTGCCGAGGGGGAGAGGACAGGCCTCCTTGATTTACTCGTAGGGTCTCATAGTAGCACTCCCTGGATTTTTTCGGATCCCCTCTTATGGTGATAACTTCGTTCTTTGCCCCCGGCATCTTCAGGGCTTGATGCTTGGTGGAGATCAACATGTCCCAGTCGTGTATTGTAGGTCGGCCAATAATCACATTGTAGGACGACTCGGTGTCTACTACGACGAAACGAACCCTTCCAGCACGGAATGAGTCCTTCGTCCCTAAGGTCAGCTTCAAATCAATGTAGCCCTTTGGGGGGGATGACGCTCCATTGAATCCGACCATCTCGATGATGCATGGTTTCAAGTCCTTCTCGTCCAGGTTCATCCTTTGAAAAGCGTCCCAGAGAAGTATGTCTGTCGAGCTCCTGTGATCAATAAAGATTCTCTTAACCCGGCAGTTGACTAGCACTCCAGTGATCACCAAGCCGTCAGTGTGTCCGGGTACAACCATTTCTAGTTCCTCCTGAGTGAAGAACAGTCTCGGGGGGGGGGGGGGGGTAGAATCTATGTAGCACCGATACCGACACGGGACACGTGACACGATATGACACGACTCTCCGACACGTTAATTCTAAAAAATATTAGATTTCGACACGTTTTGATATTAAATAATATTTTTAATTTATATAGTGTATATTATATTTAATATTCAATAATTTAACAAAAAAAAAATCTAAACATAATATTCATAAATTTTGCAAAGAAAATAAGATATCCCAAAATTTATATTAAACTCAATAAAATAGTAATCGTAATTCAACGAATCTAATAGTTGGAACTAAAATCTCAACGCAACACAACCTTTAAATCTTTTTTTGAATTTCTATAACGCGTATTGGAGTGTCGGGGAGTGTCGAGGTGTCCGAGAGTGTCGGACACGATACGTCAGGATTTTTGAAGTGTCGGTGCTTCATAGGGTAGAATTGTTGGCTTTCCCTTTGATGGTTGGCCTGTCTCTTACTGACATGACCTCCTTCAGATACTTTCTTCTTGCGTTGGTCGTGTCTCCTCCTCCACCCAGAGCTCTGCTTATCACGTTGCACTCAAATTCGGCTTCTTGAAAAATCTCATCTTTATCTTCGATCTCTTTGCCCTTTGTAGGGCGGTCTTGTCTCTGATCCTTTCTATCCTCTCTCTTCGGGCTCCGACTTCTCCGCCTTTGCTTATTATTCTTCTTGCCCTGAGTTCTGATGATGTATTGTTTCAATTTCCCCTCTCTGATGTGTTTTTCGATGGCATCTCGGAGGTCCCAGCAGTCATCCGTGATGAGACTGTTCTGGTCATGGAAAGCACAGTATTTGTTTCTATCCAATCCACTCTTGGCCTTCAGGGGTCGAGGTCTCTCGATATTGCGCATTTCAGTCTGGGCCACCACTTTCCATATCCTAGACCTGGACATGTTCAAAGGCGTGTAATCATCATATTTGCTCCTTGGGGATCAGTCATCCGACCTATTCTCCCGAGTGTCTTTTCCCTTCTTCGCCCCTCGTTGATCCCGGTCTTTGTTTTTCTTGCTTGGACTCCTGTGATTCAGGCTTCGACCTCTGGATTCCCCAGAAGCCTTATGTATGTCCTCCACGTCAATGTACTTGTCCAACCTTCGTCGGAACTCCTCCAGGTCATTGACTGGGTTCCTGTAAATTGACTTTTCCAGTGGAGAATCGCCATCTAATCCCGAGATGATCAGATGCAAGTGTACTGGCTCAGTTAAATTCCGAACCTTTAGGGCGGCATCTTTGAACCTATCAAGGTATTTCCTCAATGATTCATTCTCCTTTTGTCGAATTCCTCCAAAGGCGTAGGCCGGCATTGGATGCGCCTTGCTTGTTGCGAAATTCAACCGAAAAGTTCAGGCTAGGTCCTCAAACGAGTCAATCGAGTTCCTGGGAAGCCTGGTTATCCAGGCCATTGCCTGGCCTATTAACGTCGTCGTGAAGATTCTGGCCTTGATAAGTCCAGTTATCCCATTGAACAACATTTTGGTCTTGAAAGCCTCTAAATGGGCCTCCGGGTCTTGACTTCCGTCGTACGGTGGTATCTTGGCACTCTTGAATCTCTGCGGTATTGCCAAGTTCATGAGCCTTTCAGTGAATGGGCTATCGTTAGCCTCCTCATCAAGGAGATAATTATCTCCTTGGTTGTTGACTGGTCCTCCGCCCTCCTGGTGGTTGTCATGGCGGGGATTCTGCATATTTCCTTCTGTCGTGGTCGCGTTTTGATGTTGTGGCTCATTATCCTGGCCTGCACTTCCACCTCAGCCTGCTCCTCCAGCTCGTCCCACAAGGTTTTGATTTCACAGCTCAGCCTCCAGCGCCTCCATCCTCTGGGCATTCAGCCCTTGTTGAGCCAGGAATCTATTCTCCATCTCCTGCATCCTTTGGAGGATCACATTCATGGCCATAGTGGTTATATCCCTGGATTGTTCATTATGTGGAGGTGGGCGCACTGGGCCCGCTGTCGTGTTGGGCTGGGTTCTGGAGGGCAGTCCTTGAGTGCCGACCTCGCTGACCTGGACCTCTACTAGCACAGGGGTCGCGGC